ACAAATATAATACATGTTAAAAATACGTTTTTGAGTTTCCCTGAATTTTGTTCTTTCGTAATGAGTTTGTATTTAAATTTAGTCGCCTCTTGCAGTATGCTCTGCGCAACGCCCTTATTAATAAAAGTTAAATGATCGATGGGTTCAGCCAATTTTCAACAGATGCAAATCTCTGGCCATTTGGAAAAACGTATATTGAATAGTTACATAAAAGTGATATAGTGTAATATTTAGGATACCCTGAAAAGAATTCAGTAAACCTTTCAACTATATTTTAATAATTTATCTATTTAAACATTTCGTTCAATCATTATTTGTATTATCATTGAACTGACTGATCAAAATTCATTTTTCTTACGTCTAACAATATATTTTTGTACAGCATACAAACACGACAATGTTGATTTAGGGTATAAAAAGCACATACTTACCAAAAAAAGTAATTTGTAGGTTTCTTGTATCAACAATCACATTTTGTGTTATTGTGATACCATGAAAAGAAATAATTACATATTTCAATTAAATGAACATCTTTATATGGAGAAGATACGTATTTTGTAGTTAGAACTAATTGGAAAAACTGTAATAAATCATCTGCGGATATCATAAGGCTGAATAATATATATATATATGCTAGTTATGCAACAAAAATTTGTCAACAACAGCAGTAAAGGAATGATAATTGAAATTCTTGAGAAGCACTTTGATGCAGTGGCAGTTATTGTAACTAGATTTCAATAACTGTAATGATACAAAAATAAGTAGAATTTATATTGAAGAGTTAAGTACTACGTGTCGTTTCTTCATAACCCTTTTTCGTCATCCTATTTCTACGATTCCTTCAAGTTTCATAAGTTTGCATCATCTCAGATTAGTGAAATGCGATGTTGTTCACAATTTCTTGACGATTATTTACAAACAAGATCAGTTTATGATGTTGATTTGCTTTTCAACCTTTCTGAAGAGTAGTTTCTTTAATATTTTCTTTAACTGAAAGCAAGAACAAAAACGTTGAGTTCACGGAACTTGCGCAATTCTCATCCTTTTCAGCTAAAAATTTGGAAGTCAGCCATATCCATCCCCAGACTTGAGCAACTATGATGGAGCACTAAAAATAACAGGATGAGTTGCGACACCTTGTATTCCGAGGAACTCACCTAGCCTATTTTTTCTTTTTTAATTTGCCACCGGTAAAGGGTTCAAGCACACCGAAAGGTGCGCATGGCTGGGTATGATTCAGTACGTTGATCCCCAGGTGAGGATGGCTTTGTTCTCCGGGTTAACCTGGAATTCCTTCCTCACAGATTTGTAGTTACACAATTCTCGTTGTCCCAGACAGCATTGTGCATAGACTAGCGGTCTTTGACTTCAAGAAATTTTGCAAGATGTAATTTCTGATGAATAGCATTTTGAGTTCTTGGACAGAACTTGGCAAGCATCGCCGTCAAGTACCTGAACTAATTGTAGGTTGATGCTGCATTTAAATTATATTGCTTATATACCTAAACAAAAACCACAGATTTAGAACTAGTTCTTTAACGAGAGGCAACATCAATAAAGATAAAATTGTGAGAATGATATCAAATTTTGATGCAGCGAATATGGCTTAAGAATTACTCTGCTTGGTGTATTTTACTTGATGTATCAGGAAATATTACTGCGTAATCAATGTTTTGTGGTTACGGGTCGAAATGCCTACATTAAGCAGATAAAGATTCATAGTACGTAATTAAAAGAATTATTTCATTACAAAATTCTCTTAAGATCCACCTTTCCTAATATATTATCATGAAGTCAGATTTTGCTGCTATCTATGTACAAACTACAGCAACATATTTCTGAAACTGCGTTTTGCTTGTTTTCTAAACATAAATGTTAATAAATAAAGTCTTTTCGTATTTAAAATGGAAATTATTCAATTCCATGGCATTTCCCTCTTTAGACTTATTGTTTATTTAGGTAATTTTAATGTTTTATCAGTTAAATAATTTAAATGGATAAGTGATATTGGCTTTAATGTAACTTTTTAACTTTCGTTCCTTTCGGTATCTAAGAAAATACAAAGCAATCTTTTTCTGACTAAAATTAAATTAGACCCAAATTTAAACACAAAATACGTAATGTTTATTCACAAATATTTTTTCAAGTACTGTCTTAAAACATTGTGATTTTTTACAATATTCTATCTATATAAAACATAGGTTTTTAAAAATAATAAACATTTTAGCTGATTCATATACTCAGATTAGGCAAAAGGAAAAATTTACTTTTTGCTTTATTATTATATAATTTTGTTTTTGAAGTTTATGCATTTTATCTGACACTATTATTAATGAGTGAAAATTATATATTATTTTGCTAAGAAAAATATAAATTTTAGAGATATATATCCATGTATTTTTCCTTTTTAAATTACATAATTTACATTTTTGATATATTCAAATCAATTTCATCAAACGTTACAAAAGTAGTTCTGGATTAAAAGTTTGACTGATACTGAAGTTTGTAAAGATTTTGACGCTTGAACCATAGAAGTGATTAGACTTACTCAAAATTGTTAATTCACGACTTTTATTTTTGGTTTTAATTTTTAAATTTTGGAATGTAGAGATGTCTGTTAATCATATGTCTTATTATTTCTAGAATTCTAAAAACAATTTCGGAATGTAATGTATTCTCATTTATTTTACTGACCTAGTATATTACAAGGTGTCTGTAGATGTGGGGAATTGTATCAGTAATTTTTTTAATATTTTAAGTTGGACAGTAACATCGAAGAAATTTTTATAGAAAGTAAACTAAGATAGGAATTTGACGAAAGCGTAGGCGTAAATCTAAGCAGACGTGAAATAAATGAAGACTTGAAATTTTAGAATTCCAGAAATTTTAAAAATAAAAAGTTCTAGTGAATTGCTTATATTGTTAAATATAAAAAGGCCTAAAATCCCTCCTTAAAGCGACTTTTTTTATTTCTTTGCTTTCAATCGTAAGACGAATGGTATTCCATACAAAACCTTTTAAAAAATTTCCAGAAGGCATTCCCAGTAGCCATTGATACTTTCTTAAAATTCTAATTGTTTGGTCACAGTTATAAAGACCAGAGGTAGAAGATGCTGGACAATACGGCATTTAGTGCATTGTCCCACTCCAGGATATGTTCCTTAAAATGTCAAATATTTTGTAAGTGTTCTAGGATTTACCGTTCCATACGACTTTGGAATATTTTTTGCGAGATCAAAGGTACATTCAGCACTGATGTAATCATGCTTTCTAAATATATGTTTCACGCAACGTTCGATACATACAAAACGAATGGTTTATAAAAGGCTTTCTGAATTTATATTCTGTTTATATTTCGTTCACGGGAAATAGACAGAGAAATGAAAGCATCTGAAAATTTAAAGTAAATCCTTTTTAAAAATTATTGCAAAATGTAAATACTTAAAAAAGAACTTGACTCACAATACATTTTTTTATGAAGAATAATTATCTGATAATGTAGTTTTCAACAAAACATAGCATTTAGAAGGATACAAAATACCAGAGAATTAAACAATTATTCGTGTACAGAACTGAAACTATAGGAAAATTAGCGTGAGTATTGCTCGTTTTTTCACAATCAGATTCCCATAATCAGAACAATCTGATTCCCATAATCAAAACAGTCATCACTCCCATAATCAAAACATCTGTAACATTAATGACTACTTGCTGCAGCATCACAACGTATGTTTGGATAATAAATATAGTGAAATTCTTCACGGTGACCATCCTAAAGTACTTCTGAAGAGTAAACTAACACTATCCTGGAATATCAGTGATAGATATATTTATTCTCTGAGGCGACCAACTTAATAGAAGGCGAAAACTGTTCGGAACCATTGAGAGTCTGGATGGTTTCACTGAAACACGTGAGCAAATGGAAAACACCAATAAAAGGTATTAGTTATCTGAAGAAAGAACATTACACTTCAGTTAAAGGTTTTTAACTGCTGAAATTATTTTCTCGTATACTGGGTTTGGAGAAGTCTGATTATTTTTTTATTATTAACGTTTTTAATTTTTGAAGAAGTACTGATAAATTTTTTGATTATTAACGCTTTTAATTTTTGGAGAAGTAATTTCCATAATGATTAAGGAGTCTCGTTTGAAAGTTGACTAAAGAATCTCACAACAGGAGTAATTTTGAAAGGATGGAAATTCTGTTATCGAATTTCATCCCCTGGATCAATAGAACTTTTGCTCCAGATTTATGATTTATAAATACCAAGTATGAAACAAATCATAAATATAACTGGTGGGTAAATCTTAGTGTCTTTTTTCACATTTAATCCAATTTTTAGAACTGGATTAAATGTATATTTATTAATATTTAAAACCTTTAAACCTCTATAATAGATATATATCCAAGAAACATTACTTTGTTAACTTATAGTTGGAAAGACATTAGGTATTTTTGAGAAGCAGACCTGATGAAAAATTAGCAACCCCTTCGCCGGGAATCGAATCGTGGACCTCTCAATTACGCGCTGAGCGTGCAGACCACTACGCCACGAAGGCTCGCTAAGAAGGCGGGAGAAATACCTTATAAAGCAATAAAATAATAATTGAAGTGTGGTAAACGTCGAACATGGTATTGGACTAACCAAGGATATAAAGCTTACGTTGTAGACTCCTTAGTGGAATGGGATGAGTTTAAAGCCACACTAACAGTCAGCAGTTAAAGGTTTTCTTGTTACGTAATTGAATTGCTTAATAAAGATAGCATTACGAAGTTTCCAAAAAGCATGAATTAGATTGTATCTAATTTTAACCAAAAATATTGGTAATTAAAGGTCAGCAGATGAGTTGTATCATGAGGCAGGATAGTATTATAAGGAAAATTAATATAGCATAGTTCTTTGCAAATTTGAATTTTGTTGTTCTTTGCAAATTTGAAGTTGTTTATGCAAAAATATTAAAGCATCGTTTTAATCTTTCTCTTTCTTTTCTTCCAACAGTGACTTTCGTTCATCTACAGTAGTCAAAGAATCATGCCTTCAATTGCTTGTCTTCAGACACTTCAAAGGGAACTTGCAGATAGTATAATTCGATGTGCTCCATTGGACGACATCCGAATTTTGTTGGCCTGCGGAGCTAAGGTTAATGAACCAGTGACTCAGGGCTTGCGCCCCATTCACTATGCGGCTTTTCAGCAATATTTCGATGCTCTTAACCTTCTGCTGGTCAGAGGTTGTGATCCTAACGCTATGGACGAGATTGGATATACAGCTTTGCACCTGTGTGCAGAACGTGGTTATGAAGACCTAGTTCTTCTTTTACTCCAGCACAATGCCAGAGTTTCTTTCACGGAGCTAAATCGAAATGATAAGGCACTTGGAAATCCACCTCGAGCTACTCTTGCTGATGAGCCTTTACGGCTTGCCATTAAGAATGGTCATTATGAAGTCGCTGAAATTTTGCTCAAGAATGGGGCAGATCCCAACGCCAGGTATTTTCTTGGCGCTGAGATCAATTTGATAAGTCCTTTGAACACTCGGTTTTTAGAATTATTGCTCAAATATGGTGCTGATCCGAACTCGAGAGATCGAACTGGTCTTACTCCTCTGATGAAGGCTTGTAGGCACCCACAGGGCCTTCTGGCAGCTAAGATTTTAATAAAATATGGGGCAGATGTGAACGACATGACCTCCGAACGCCATGATAACAGAACTGTTCTCCACTATGCTGTACTGAGTGGCAACATGGACACGGTTAAATTATTATTACGGCATGGCGCAGTTGTGAGATTTTCTGCTGATTACATGAAACCAAGTCCTCTCGATTTTGCGATTCTACGAGGGAACCCAGAAATGGTCAAGCTTCTAATCGAATCTGGAGCAGACGTCAACATGGGATCTCCTATCATAGGTTGCCCTCTGCATATTGCATTATCTGAGAAAGTAGACAACAAGGTAAGCTTATCATTTGCTATGTAAATATTTGAGTTGAAATTAAAGATTTTAATTCAGTGTCATATAAAGAATAAATTCGATAGCAAGTCATGGTAAAATTCAAATAAAACTATGCTGCATAAATGGGTTAAGTGATCTGAATGGGACTGACAATCATTATTCTACATGTAAGGAAAATTAATATTGTTCTGCAAAATTGTTGTTGTGCCTCAATTCTCATTTCTGCTAACTTCTTTCAGAGATAGTCGTAGCACACTATTACTTTCAAGCAAGTTATAGGATGTTTTAATTAAATCATAGGGTAAGGCGTTATGTGACACCTTCTGAACAGTATTTACTCTTATTCATTGTTATTTTAAGCATATTCGTATTTCTATTGTTGTGGTTTGTCTTACTTGTCTTACCTAATCACATCAAGTACGCGAATTTTACTGTGGTAACGAGCACAGGATTGAGTCTGTCGTTGGCAAAGGCCTTGAACACTGTATAGGTGACAGTAGGACTTAGGTGGTGGTAGGTGACAGTCAGCTCCATCTCATTTTTGAAGCAGAATCCTCGGGGACCGGATCTGATGGTCTCCCACTTCTCTTCCCGTATCACAAAACTACTTTAGAGGACTTTTGGCTTCCCATGTATCCCTACGGACCGAACTCGAGTGTCTCCCACTTGTCTTCCCGTATCATAAAACCACTCCAGAGGACTTTTGAGTCGCCATGTATTTTGGTTTATCCCATTTTAGGAAATACAATATAATGTTACTAAAATTGAATTATTTGCCTGTTCGGATGTCAATGACGGAGACAAATTTAACTCAGAATTTAACTTTCAGCATTTATTTCCAGCATTTATTTTATTTTTTTTTTTCAGAATTATTTTATAGTTTCCTATAAAATTTAGATGGTCATAAACTGGAATGTTTAGGAAAATGAATGGACTTTTCTTTTATAATCTACTCTATAATAAACTATTTCTTTTATAATCTTAATAATATTTTACTAAACTTACTGAATGGTGTCTTCTCAAAATAATGTTCTTTTTACACTTAGAATGAACTATAACATTATATTTATTTATGTGTAAAAACCATTGTTTACTGATTTTAGATATCATTTAATTAATAAATTTGGTGCTACTTTGGTAGACGGTTGCGCGGATTTTGGCGAGTTTTTGGCAATTTTTCTTTTGGCGAGTAATACGACTTATGGTAAACCCATTGCTGGATAAGTTATTTATGGTAACCGATACTTTGTTGACATTTTATTTTAAAAATAATGCGTGTTATTATGCATAAATTCCGTGTTTTAAATATTATTTATGGCTTCTAAATATTAAAAATCAATTTAATTTTGCATTTTTATTTGAAATAAAAATTTTATTCTTTATCATATTTTATGAAATTTTATGCTGTGGATGATGTAATCAGTGACGTCACCTTACTTTAAAAGTAATTGCTTTTAATATTTATAAATTTAATCTAATGTTTTAAAAACATTATTTATGGCTGTTAAATATTAAAATACAATTTAATTTTGCATTTCTTTTTTAAAATGATTTTATTATGTATGATTATTTAAATAATTTTAATTCTAGGCGTGATATAATAAGCTCTCTGATTGGTTATAGAATATTTGTGCATTAATGAGCTGTAATCAGCTCCCTGATAGGTTGCTGAAAATTTGTGCATTACCGCGCCATTTTAAAATTTAATTAATATCTTCGAATTTCTTCAAAAATGTCGCCTTCAAAGATGAATGTTTTTGATAAGCACCAAGAATTTTTGGTTTCGGAATCAAAAAATTGTCCTTTGAGACCTTATTTTCGCCAGCCTGGCTTTCCTAATCAAAGATTTATTTATAAATTCTTACAAGGGTCAGAGGAAATTTATTTTAAATTTTTAAAGGAAACGTTCGCTAATTGCTTCTTCAATGAAGTGCGAAAATGTAGATCACAGATGAAGATCGTTAGAAGAGCCGATTCTGAGAACGGCCGTATATGATATTGTGGTCATGTTGGAAGAAATAACCGCTGTAACGGTAAGAAAATTATTAGACATTCCTCCTTTTTACCGACATTTTTTGCCTCCCTTTTTACCGACAAATAAACTAATTGCTGTCATTTTAGCTCTACTGTACGAAGCGTTCTTATTTACTTATTTTAAAGTATTTAATTTAAGTAATATTTAAATTCTTTTAAACGTTGGTATGATGGTTTGTAATTCGATATTCAATTTACGTAATATTTTAATTCAATTAAACGTTGGCGCGATGTTTTTATACTGGTATTTTTATTCTATTTCTGTGCTATATGAAAGTAATAATTTAACCTTTCTTTAGTATTTTATATTCGTAGTAAATGTATTTATTCTATATAATATATATATTATTTCTATATAACGTATTTTAAAGTATTTAAATTTAATAATATTCTAATTCTTTTAAATGTTGGATGATGTTTTTTTTTTTTTTTTATTTCGATATTCAATTTCAGTAATATTTTAATCTAATTAAACGTTGGCACAATGTTTTTATAGCGGTGTTTTTATTCTCTTCTTTGCTATATGAAAGTAATAATAACCTTACTTTAGTATTTTATACTCATAGTAAATGTATTTATTTACACTTGCCTGCCATCTTAAAAAACGACATTTTCAACAAAAAAATTAATCCATTATTTCTAACGATATTTATTTTTTTTTAAGTTTTGAATACTTTACTATGCGTAAAAACAGCGTTTTTCAAGATGGCTGACGTTTGTAGAAATGGCGCCAACAATTGCGCCAACGTAAATCGCCAAAAATCCGTGCAACCGTCTACCAAAGTAGCACCACCATAATTTTATATATACTTATAATTAGGAATTTAATATTTTGAGATTTTTGTACATAGCTATTATGCTTCATTTGTAAGTAGGAACCTTAAAACTGAAAATAGATTGCTGTGTTTGTATTGTAATTGGAAAAGGACTGTAGAAAAGTAAATTTAAATAAGACTCCTACAGCAAAAAATAAGAATTAGTTAAGAATGTATCTATACTTGAAAATGTGCGACTTTTTTCGAACTTTCTTCTGAAATTAACGCAACAGTAAAATTAATATAAAGTGTAAATTAAATGTATTTTGCTTGTTGGAGACAAAATAAGCAAATCTAGTCAACTTAAAATGGTTATATTATGAAAATATTTACACTGCAAGAACAAAATTATCTAATATACAATAAAATGTACGAGCAATAGTTCTACATAAGCTTTTTAAAAATTTGATTGATAACTTAACGTACATATGAGAAGTTAATTTTCAAAACATGGAAAAATTACGAGTTAATATAGTTAAAAACAACGTTAATTACCCATGTATCTAGTGCATAAAATAAAGCTATCTGAACATAAAAGTGATAATTATAACTTTAGAAAAAATACACATAATCAACAGCATAATGAGTAGTGATGAAATTAAGTGAAGTATTTTATAATAAAAAATTAAAAGTTAAATTTGTTAATTTTTCCATCATTTAAATTATGCTGGAATTCCGATTTTTTAGAGTGGTAAACAGTTGTTTTAGTTCTTCGTCAGCATGACGGCTTTACCAATGTCTTTTAGAGATTAAATTTTAGAATACGAAAATACAAAGTTAAATTTTGTTAATTTTCCCCATCATTTAAATTATGCTGGAATTCCGATTTTTGGCAAATCTGAATTCACGAACTGTTTTGCAGAGTGGTCAACAGTTGTTTTAGTTCTTCGTCAGCATGGACAGCTTTCTCAATGTCTTCTACTTTAATAACGAAAGCCTTAGCACGTGGTAAAGATTGTCTAGCAACGTTTCCGGAGAGCTCCACGATTTCTGTGGCAACATACTGCAGTACTGCCAGAAGATATACTGTGGCTTTCTTATCTACAGGCTGATCGTAATTGTCTTGAAGCTTGTGGTGAAGTCGTTGTATGTCAAACTGAATTGCTTTCTGGGCAAAATTTGTTGGCCGGCTAACAGTTCGTTTTACTTTCATCGTTCGGGTTTTAGATCTTGCCATGATTTCGCGCTTCAGATTATTCGATATACGTTATTAAATTTGTCACAAAAATTGTAAAGTTCCACTGAACTGCATCCAGTACAATAATTATCTTTGTTTTCAGTTTAAAAATTTTGATCACATTCAACACGTTCGTAAGCATGCGCATTTTTGGAATCGATCCAGATTTTCCTGTTGCCAATGCATATAAAGAATGAAGTATTTTTATTTTTCAAATTTAATATTGAAAATAGCTTTGTAATATTGCCGCATTCGTAGTCATATGGTTTTTTTTTATAAAGGATATCTATTTATAACATATTTTGCAGTAGCTGTTTTTTATAACTTTTGCTTAAAAATACAAATTAAGAAAAGTTTGCCCTGAAAAACATATTTTAAACAACTAATCGTAAATCAAAGTCTGCAGTTTTTGAAATTATTTAAAATTTTGAGAAGTGAAATTGTAATTTATGCTAAATGGATAAAACTCTCAAAGCAAAACGTAAATGAGAACCTTTTAGCTGTTTAAATTAGCAGTTGTGCAGTAAAATATATATCTACAAATATTTTATGTTCAAAGTAGTAAGTAATATATTTAATATATGTTAAAGGTACTAAATCTAAATAAGAATTATATGTCAGTTCATAAAATATTTATATTAACTCGAAAATATTATGCAAACACACAAATCGTAAATGCTAGATGTAACATATTTATAGACCAGAGAATAATTTTCACCTGTAGTTGTAGGCGTTGACTTAAGACGTTTTCGCAATGTGTAGGGATTGCATTTTTTAATACACAACAGGTAGTTTTATTTGAAGATTCCAAATTTTAATGCAGACTTGGTATTTAAAAGGGAATATTTTCAATACGGATCTTCTTTGTGTATTTACTAGCGAATACTTTCATGAGAAATTCAGAACATTCAGTAAGATTCAACACTAAAAGGAATTCAATTACAAAATTAGTTGGTTAGCAGAGAATAGACCAGCAAGAACTTTGCATTTAAGAGCTAAGAGTTCAATAAGAATTCAACATGAAATAAAATTGCCTCATAGAATGTACAGCATTATCATGCTAGCATACTTCTAATCTTCTATTATATTCCTGCATTTCGATTATATTACCGTGCTCCTAGCAGATTATATTACTGTATTTCTATTTTGCACATTCCAGAAAGATCGAGAAATCGACAACTGAAACATCAAATTAAATGAAAACAGTATAATGAGACAACAACAGAGGAAAACAAAATTCAAACAAATCGGAATCTTAGAGCAAAAATCTTATACAATAATGATGCTATCCAACTGTCTATGAGCCAGATCCATGCGGTCAATCTATTATTTTACGGCATGCGTATTACAGTTGTTTTATGCAATGTCATCCGAACTGCTGAGTAACAACTTTCCTGATAGCATGCTTGAAAATCATACAGAAGAGCTGGTTTCAGAATTTAACTGTTGATTGTAATTTGCTTTATCCGCATATTATCAGCATGTAAAATGCATTTACAGTATCAGCCAAAAGAAATGCATTTAGAGCAGAGGTCCTAAAGTTTTTTTTTATTTTTATTTTTTGTAACATACAAATAGGAATAAAAATATGTGTACAATCATGTGCAAATATACAGGGTGATCAGCGAATAAGCCCTGATTTCAAAATTAAATATCTCTACAACAAAGATAGATAGAATTATGCGGTAAACTGTACGTTCATTAGCAAAACTGTAAAAATGGTGTACAATAGTTTAGAAAATTTAGTTACGAAAATCGTTAACAGATGGCGCTCTGCGCTGAAAACTCTTTCTTTGAAAGGAGTTAAAAAAAAATAAAGTGAAGCAGTCTTTGCAATCAAAATACAATTTTTTCAAAATGTTCACCGTTCGAAACAATGAGGTGGCGTAAACTAATAATGAAATTTGGCATCACGTCTTACAATGTTGCAACGGAAATGGAATTACATGCAAAACCAATCAACGATTCAAGCTCATCTAGAGTAGCGGGATTGTTTCGATAGACAGTGTCTTTCAATGCGCCCCACAGAAAGAAGTCACAAGGACTCAGATCGGGAAAATATGGAGGCCAAGCTATTCGTGTGTCAGTAAATTGCGGATAATCTAACGCAATTACTCTATTTCCAAAGTATTTCATGAAGAAAGCGAAAAACTTTTTCTGTTCGATGTGGTCGAGCCCCATCTTGCATCAGTCGATACCTGGTCGATCCTCTAACGCTAGTTGAGTGCTGTCATATTGTTCCAAAATTGTAACGTAACGTTCAGAAGTTATCGTTTCTCGTACGAAAAATGGTCCGATAATGCCTCTGGCGCATACCGCAGCCCATGCAGTAACTTTAGGCGAATGCAGTGCTTTCTCTTCACACAAATGAGGATTTTCGGTACCTCAAAGTCTCTGAGCCCCTTCTTTTGAGCTATGGGGACACTAGTGTCCAGGTGGGCTGAAGGGAGCCTTTAATTCTTACCCCAAAATCTCCAGTTTTGTTTATCAACGATTCCATTCAAATGAAAATGAATTCATTGAATCAAAAAATTCAAATGAAGTTTGCCTAGGCCCAACATTTCCCTTTCGATCATCAGCCACGCTGCCAGTCCGTTCAAATTTTGCGAAGAGCATGCGAATAGTTTTCGCATCGGGTCCAACTGGAACACTGAATCGGTTTTGAAAACTGCGACGTGTTGCCGTAGGACTGTTGTTAATTGGTGAAATTCCAGAACCCTTCCCCCCCCAAAAAAAAAAACACGTTGTTCAATGGAATACATTATTTCATTTTCTACGCTAGCCTTTTTTTTTCACTAGCCAACGTCGTAATGATCCTTTTCGAATTCAAAGCACATTTTTAAAGGTTATTGATAGGTCATTGCGGTTAGAGCGCCATTCTGTTAACGATTTTCGTAACTAAATTTTCTAAACCTTTGTACACCATTTTTACAGTTTTGCTAATAAACGTACGCAGTTTACCGCATAATTCTATCGATCTTTGTTGTAGAGATATTTAATTTTGAAATCAGGGCTTATTCGCTGATCACCCTGTATATACCGAAATGGGTACATTTTATATTCATTTAAATTTTTTATGCGAAAATTGTAACACTCAATATAATGCATACCATTAGGAGTACTATACACTAATGTTTTGAAAAAATGCATCATCACGAAGGAATTGTCGAAAATGCATGAGATTTATTCCTCATGTTACTGATAGTGGTACGAATAAACGATGAAATTTACAAAACAAAAACCAAAACGAACAACTGATATCAGTACATTGTGCATCCGCCACGCTGACCTGTAGTTAGCCCAAACCCACGAAATTCCGCGTGGGAAGGAGCGCCAGTTAACGCCTGTAGTTGGCAACCTTGAGCACCTTACAGGTGATACTGCGATTTAGCTCAGTCATGCCCCCAATTTTGATGGAGAGCACCCCGGTGGGACTGGTTCGAGGGTCTCCCACACCTCTTTTCCTACCAGCAACCTGTCGACAGGAATTTCGCCTCGCCGCATATTTAGAGTGCCACCATGCCGCATGGACACTACACATTTACAAACATCCATGCCTTCTCCGTGATTCGAACCCGGGCCCTTCAACACGGCAGTCAGCGACGCTTACCACTATACCGATTGGGCGGCCAGTGCAACTTTACAGTCCTTTATATACATAAACAAGCGGCCGGTTCTCATTCCACGCATGCGCAATCGCTTTGTAATTCTGATGCATTTCTTTATAATTCTGATCAATCTTTGTAATTCTGATGCACTTTGCATTTCCTATATGTTTGGTTGCATAATTCCTTCATGGCAGTGCAATTTTTACAAAAAATAGTGTATCAAGGGTTTTAGAAAAGCGAGAGAGTATTCGAAATAACCTCTTTTACTATGAAGATTATCAAACTGAAAATTTTGAAAACGACTAAATGTTGCGATTTTCTCAAATATTCTCAGGACTACAACATAAATTAATGTAAGTGGGTTGCTTTTGAGCCCTTAACTATTGACTATATATCGCGGGCAAAAAAATCTTGATTTAAATTAAATTATTATATACATATTTATTCTGTAATTTCGATTTTATTTAAGACGGGAAAAAGTGTTGGTAGGCTTTTGTTTTTAACTGTAATTTCTTTCCATATTCTGATTAAAATAAAGCAGAAGTCAAAACTTTGACTATGTTTCATTGAGAAAGTGATTGTTCTAAAATGCGTTTGATAGAAAAATAGCTATCTTTATCGCATTTCAAATCAATTATTTTTGCTGCTGTTAATATTACGAGCTGAGAACTGATAGTTTCTTTAAATGATGTATTCAATTTTATTTTTTAAAACTTATTAACTAGAATAAGAAGTGCTTCTCTTATTGATTTTATACTGTGATATTTATCTGCAAGTTCTCAAATCTGTATAATTTTCAGGTCGACATAATAAAGCTCTTATTAGACTGCGGTGCAGATCCTAATGCTGTATCTGTATGTGACGAAGGTCCTTTAATCAAACCTCCTATAGGCGAATACTTCAATTCCTGCGATCATCCCACGGTGGACGTTGTTCGGTTACTTCTATACTATGGAGCCAGAGTAGTCATTAAATCTCAAATCCACCATCCACTAGGGATCCTCAAATCTGTTCACAGGTTACATCCAGAAACGCATCCAGAGGTCCTAGAAGTCATCTTAGACGCTGCTGAAGCTTTTAGTGCAGCATCAATCAACAGGTAACTTTTCACATATCCAGTAGTGTCTGTCGCATTGCAAATAACAGGTATTCGATAGTTTCATGTTCCTCTATAGCCTGTTAACCGATGAAAATTTAAATTCCTCACTTTATGTGGTTTGATTGTTTCCCTAACTTTTCGCTTTTTACAATCATAGCATACGTTGCAGGTCTTTGTATAAATCTGTATTTTGTATATAAGCGATTTTTAGATAGCTCTCCTGTACTTTGTTATATTCAGAAAAAAAAAAGAAAAAGCATGTAATCTTTTATTGAACTTTAGTAAATATATCTTGGCTATTATATTAATACAGCACCTAACAGAACAGATGTTTCGTTAAAAAAGCCTTTGCTTGAAATGTGATAATATTCTGCCCAGCATTTGTGACAGAGGTAGCTGTCGTAATCGCAACAAAGCAGACTGTAATAGACTGAGAACCCTTTCAGCCATTACTGATGCGAGGTTACCAGGTTGAAAGCGAGGTTATAAAAAGTGTGACACGTAAAGCTGGGATGTGCCTATCGGCATGATTAATATTTTCGATATATTTATATACCATATCCCATTATTATAAAAATCGCTTCAGGGAAGAGACGTTTATGCTGTGTTACCGATTTGCGATTTAATTTTTTGTATGAAAGAAAATGCAAAATTTCTTTGTCATCCTAGGATAACTGAATGAGATGTTGTCTAATTTGCTGCAGCGCAAGCTGATCGTCACTTGCCAACTAGAATTTAACCTTCTGGCTCACTCATTAAAGGGCTGTCTTTCGAGAAAAAAACTCTTAATAAATGATAAATTTTCGATAACCTCGCCTAAACGAAGGAAAATGTATTAAATTACATGCAAATAACTCGCAGTGGAATGGACAGGTGCTGAGCCTGATCATAATTGTCAAATGCAATGTTTAATTTATTCATCAGCAATTAGGCATAGAAAAATATGACAAAAGAGTTTTGACCTACTTCTTTTATCAATATTTTGTTGTTGTCAGTTGGAAATTACTACCTAATTTCAGAATGTTTCGTGCTTCTAGCTTTTCAATCGTAACAGTTTCATCAACACAATAGTTTTTTACTTACAAGAATTTAAATTCTGGTATTAAAATGAACACAATTGGGTACTAACCGATTCTTCCTAACTGAGAACAGTTTCACATTTCCACCAGACTTAATTATTATAGCAAACATGCGAAGGCTATCTGAGAAAGACAAATGACGCCCTCGTTAGTATTTCTAAGGGAATGTATACGTAAAGATATAGTGTATTAATTATATTCAACTTATTAGGCGTAATAAGCGTTTTACTATTTGAACCTTTTGCTTTACGAAGATTGTATAAAAAGTTTAGTAAACCGATACGTAAACACAAAATTCTCTAATTTTGATAAATTTTGTAACCGAAAGTACATATCTAGGATTGGTAGTTGAATAAATTAAGTCTATAACCATCTTTCCCAAACATCCTGTATATTTTCTGCATGATTACTTGCTTTATTGTATTTCATGGAAAAATGGCATCTAGTATGCTCTTAAGTGAAAATGAATAATTTGTTTTAAATAGTGTATTTCTCCTAATCTTTGGTATGTTTCATTTTGCAGGTCGCTGATTCTCACAGACCAGCAACGTCAGCTTCTTCTAGAACACGCCTTAACTCCTTTACCTCTGAAACATATTCTGAGGCTCTTCATTAGGAATATTTTTGGCGTTGGACCCACTGTTTGCAAGAGGATTCAGCATCTTCCTATCCCCAAAATAATCAAGATGTATCTTCTGTATGAAATATAGCATAGGATATTCCGTATTTAGTAGATTTCCCTTAACTTGGAGTTCTCTTATTTGAGATCCTTTGGAAAACTTTGACCCTCATGGGTCATAAAGTGGTGGTTGCTGTCTTTGGAGGAGGTCTTTTGTTTTTGAGGCTAAGGCCATCGAGTGCATTGGAAGTTTGAAAGATTTCGAGTTTTGATGCTTTCTGATACCGTTACGAAACTGGTACAGAGTTGTGTAACACCCATATTTGCAAATTTTAATGCGGCAAAATAAATTTTGATTTAAAATATTAACTTTTATATTATATATATACCCGACTAATAACTGTATCAAATGATGAAATACATTAAACTGAAAAGTATAAGAATGTTTGCATACCTCTCATTTAGTAAAAATAAACTTTTAATAAATGCTTTAAGACAAGTTTGTTAAATAATGCGGCATTGTAAATTATTTTTTAATGAAGTAGGTAGTCAAGACATATTTTGTATGTTAATTTATTTTAATATGAATAATTTTACTATGAAATGCTTATAAATCAAGGTAATCTTGGATTATCCGATACCAGTTCCATATGAATGTTTTCCCTATAAATAGTATGAATAATAATTTTTAACAGATTGACGATTTATTGGCAAAATTTCGGAAAAAAATAAAATTCTGTATTTTCATATCCTTAAAAGGTAAGAGGTGAAGAAATTAAACTATCGTGAACTACCTTTCGTATATTTTAACTTTGCAAATTTATTAAATATAAACGTAATTGTCTGAGGTACTGAAATTAATAAAAAAAATTCTATTGCTTGAGAACAAGGTCTTTTTTAAAATATTAAATGTTTACCATTAATCATTTTGAGAATTAAGTTGCTATTCAAAATTGAGCAAATCATTCGTCTAATATATTATGTATTATGCGCTTTTCTGTATAATATTCTGGTTTGAGAATATCTCTTGTTTTTCAGCTATGCGTTCGGTCGTTTAACACGTTGAGCGCCACGTCAACCATCTGTGGCTGACACTAGATTTTCCGTTTAGGCCGCGTGAGCCATCTGTGGCTGACACTAGAATTTCCATTTAAGCCGCTTCAGACATCTGTGGCTGACACTAGATTTTCCGTTTAAGCCGCGTCAGCTATCCTTCGCTGACACTAGATTTTCCGTTTAGGCCGCGCCAGCTATCCTTCGCTGACATTAGATTTTCCGTTTAGGCCGCGTTAGCCATCTGTGGCTTCACTAAACTTTCCGTTTAGGTCGTGTCAGCCATTTGTGGCTGACACTAGACCTTTTCGTTTAGGCCGCGTCGACCGCCGCTGGCTGACAGCGTGTAACATGATATATAACTAAAAAATTTACACTGTTTTATGAAATTACACAAAATTTATTTAATATTGATTCATGATTTGATTTTGGTTTATTGGATTTCATTGAAACACGGTAAACATAAAAACGGTTCTCTATTACAGCTATTACAAAATGTGACAACATTCTTTTAATCTTTTTTCTGGCCATTACTCTACCAGCTTCTGTTGCATTTTTATAATAACATAATTTACAATATTTTCGTAATTCAGAGGCTTTTCCCGGTTTTCTTCGGAGCTTATGTTGTCGTTTTCTAGATATTCTTGCATTTTTGTTCGACGGAATGTCTTCTTTTTCACAACTTGTTGCTATCTTCTACCGCGATACGAATCACTGGCCCTACAGTACCAGCGCTTTTAAGCGAAGCGCGTGGCCTGAATGGGATTGCCTAAGACATACGAGTGGCGCTCAACGTGTTAATGCGTCTCTTCTAAGAATAAATCTTTTTAAAATCGCAGTCTTTCTTTGCAATTCAAGAATACTTGACAACTTTCAGTACAATTACTAATGTCTATTTAAATTACGCAATTTTACGTCTATTATTTTGAGAGTCAATTATGTATTCAAAGTACTGAATTAAGAAGATAAATTTAAATAAAGAACGGTGCTTTTAAGAATGTTTGTTGCTTTTTCTTTCGAACTAGTCTGGACTGTACCTTATGATTACGGCAAAACAACATTAAAGCTATCTGCCTATTAAAAGAATTGCCGTTATGAAGGACTTTTTAAGCTTCTTCGGAAGGTAGTAACAGTGGCTTCGCAAATTATGAGCAATTGCTTTTATACAAAAACGTCTAAAGTCCTATGTTTTTATAAGAACTTCTTTAGTATAATTATTAGAAAAGAAGAAAGAGCTATTTTTTTACTAGTAAAGAAGTAAATTAATTTTCAGTTACTCAGAAATTTCAAATATATATATATATATGATATACCAGCTTTTGTCAGGAATAAATAGATTGTTGAAGAATCATAAATGTAGTCGTAGCTTAAATTATCAGACGATAAGTTTAAAAAACAGGATCATTTATTATTGGTCAAGAGAAATAGCAGTTACAAAATAAGATATCCAGAGTAAATAAAAAGAATTACTAATAACTTTTTGTATGAAGTTTACTGCATCGTGACATTTAAGAAAAGCCCCGATATTCTTTAGCGAGTCCTTTTATAGCCTCTAGAAAGGCGGAACTTCCAAGAAATGACGTCAGCCTCGTCAGCCAATCCAGTTCGCTTTAAATATTTCCAGAACATTCTATAACTGTACGTGTAGAAAAGGCTGGAAAAACAACTTAACTACGGGGCTGTGGATTTAATTCCACGTACTTTCAAATAAGAGAACATCGCCATTAAAAAAGAAAAGAACATACAATTAGAATTTTAAGTCTATTCTTGATTATGGAATTTTTTTATTACAAATATATATATAAAAGGACTAAAGAACACGAAATAACGAAAATAAGACGAAGTAGATAAGTAGCCAAAACTTTATTTTGAAATAAAATAGAATTGGCATATAAATGTTAGTTTTCTGAAAACCGAATGTGGGCTTTGTACCTCTATATGCAGATTTAATTCTCGGTGGTATGTATTGAAATAAAAGGAATGAAATCATTTTAAAGAGCGGCATAATATATTGGGCTAATGCAACTGTATATTGTGTTAGCTCAAATATGAATACTCTAACGTACTTTTACGTATAACTGTAAATTACACATTGTATATAGGCAGCCCAACATTTAAAAGTGTTAAAACAACCTGTCACGTATCTCAACTTTTTAAAACTAAATAATATTTTAAGAAATATTATTTATATTTTATATTTTAAGAATATATTTATTTATTTTATAATTTAAGAAATATTACTAGTTAGTTTCCTTTCAAAGCAAACTTTAAATTGCTTATTTTTCTCTTAGAACATTTTCAGTCTATCAGACTCATAAGAGGCTGTTTTATATTCAAGCCCTTTTCTTATAGATTATCTTTCTAGATTCAAGCCCTTTTCTTATAGATTATAATTAAAATGTATAAGCTTATCTTATATTCCGATCAGTGGGGTATACTTATTAAACTGGAGGCTCAAATAAAATTGAAAAAAAATCAGATCCGAAATCAATTAAATGTTTAAAAATTAAAAGTACTCCGTTATTTAATGAAATATAGGTATGCAACTTATAATCCAAATTTTCAACAAATTATTCTAAAGATGTTATAACCCGAAATCTTGCTTTTCAGTTTAAAATTGTACCAATATTTATTGCAGTAATAATATATAATGAAAAATATTATTAAAATACGAAAGGCAGACAATGTCTCAGAAAATTATGAATTCTTATTCGATATCTTGCTCGGTAAATGTAAGCGTTGTGCTAAGATTAATTTTGGATGGCCTTAGTCGCTTGGAGAATGAGTTGGTAGAGGGTGCTGCTCTTTTTCATGTTTTTGGGAATGACATACGTCGATATTTTACTTCATTCCCTTTAAAAATCAAAGCTGTGTATTTTTAACCATATCTAGTCTTGTGTGATAAACCTTTTGTAGTTTTATATGTTTTGTTTCCCAAATAATGTACCGCTACACGAATCTAACTACTGTTAACAATTATTTGCTCATTTTTAAAACCAGATGCTATTTACAAATGACTCAACATACAACTATTAAAGATTTAACTATTTCATTTTTAGTACAAAGTTAAACTGTGTTGGTAAACTTTAATTCACACAACGGTTTTAAAATAAAAAAAACACAATAAATATTCAGGTTTTTGATTTTGTGAGCAGCTAAAATTTAAATACTAAGTATTAAAGCTTAAAGATTAAAGAAATATGGTTGCAAAATATTCTTTTATAAAATTATATTTGAATTTCTTGATCTGAAGAAAACATGTAGGGAGATTGATTTGAATGTAGTAAACTTATATGTTCCTTGTTTGAAAAAACATACCCAATTTTAATTGTATAGGTTGTTTTTTGTACGTTTAATGTATGGAATATTTGGTAATTTTCATTTGTATTATTTTCTATATGATTAATAAAGAAAGAAAATTTAGATGTTACGTATTTATTTGAACAATAACAAAGTAACTATAAACACTAAGACACTCTTCAAAAATTAAAGATATGCAACTGAGTATTGATATTGAACGAAATTAGAAACTGAAATGAACACAGTCAAAATTTGATATTCTGTACGCGTGAAATCTCATATTTTGTTCTAGTGAATTCTGCATATTATTTCGAGAATCAAGGATCGAAAATATTAAGAATACATTTGGTTAATACAATGAAGTATGAAATAAAAATATCCAGTTTGAAAATAATTACAGTTAAAAAATTGCAATAATGGCATTAAAATATATCAATATTATGAAAAGCATAAAGCAATGGAAAAGTTTGGAATTGGCTAGTAAGAAATGATCAAACGAATGACAAGAAACAATAATGAACGTGTATACATAACATATCACAGCAAAATAATAATTTTTTTACTAGATATTTCTGAAAAAAATTATTTTATCAAAGAATATATTATTACTTTCATTTCACAGTTCTGCTATTTAAACATTATAACCTTAATATAAAAACATTATGCCGATATCTAAAATAGTTCATAATATTTTAAATCATGTTTCAAAATTATTGTTTTGGGGAAAAGTTAAGATTTTGAGCCACAAATTAATTGCTTGAATTATTAGCTGAACTTTTTTTGACAATATATAAAGTTTCTAACTTAAATTTAATACTTCCATATGACTGCAGCGGGTAGGGAAACCCTGACTTTATCTGTAAATGAACCATTACATTCGGCAAATCCGATAGATGCCAGCACTGTACATAGTTCTATTGCATCAGACAAATGAGATGTAGACCAACAACAGTACCATATCACATTTCTAAAAGCACGTAAAACCTACAAGGTCCTTTATTAAAATGCAATTTTTTAGAAAGCTCTTGTTCACTCTCATATGAATAAAAACCATGCTGAATTCATCTAATGGCATGTGCAAGGTCCTTCATTTACGATACTGAGAGTAGATATATAAGTTAATTACACTCCTTTGTCGAAGTAGTAGTTAAATTCTCCTCAAAATATATGTACTTCTTTTAATCGTTCCATCCCAGCCATGCGTGGCATATTAATAAATAGATTGTTGCTATGGATGTAGTTAGAATCATCACCGGGAAGCCAACTCTGAAATAATAAAACGTTGTTTCAGTTTTCAGATTTTAATTGCACTTCAAAAATGAGCTATAAAAACAGTTATAACAGTGAATTTTAAAATGCAGATATTAAATCAGAGAAAGGGAGAGAACTAATTTGCCGAATAATCCGTATAGTACATATGTATGAAAAATTTTTGCTACTATTATTTAATTAAAGGCATTTAAATTACTATGATATTTTTAGAAATTAATATTTCTTTAATCTGTGGATTATGATATTTTAACTTTATATTATTACTCTATAGTGATGATTTATAATACTGAGTAAGTAGTTTATAAATAAAATACATTTGTTAGATAAGTATTTTATTCCTTGCTGTTAAATAAGTAAAGTTCAAATAAATAAGAGGCTTACTTGAAAAAATCGTAGAAAGAAAATCTGTAACCGTGTTGTTCGGCTAATCCCGCCGTGACAACATTAGCGGAGGCACCAATGAGAGTTCCATTTCCTAAAACAAAATTTCTAGATATTAGTCGAGAAGCAAACATGACTAATAATGTTTTAAATAATTCAAAAGTAAAGAAAATTCATTTGAACTACTAGCGAATGCTACGGTTCAAAATTTGCCTGCACTATTTATTCATTCCTGATTGTATACTTTATTTTATGGTACAGACTTTTAAGCACTTTTCTCATTCGGCGTTACGACTCTTGGTTCGTATGTGTCAGATAAAGCTGTTAAATTGTTAATGAGGAGCAACCGAAAATTGTCTTCATTTTACTTCAGTAAAAGGAAATCATGACTGACCCAAATAAAATAAAAAATTAAAACAAATCACATTAAAGCTAACTTGTATGCGAGCAGAGAATTCTTCAATGAGGGCGTTTTAAGTGAAATTAGATTACGTTTATGTTAACTTTTACATCATTATACATTTGAGCATACTCTCATTACATTGAGGCTTTTCAAATACAGGAAATAGAACCCAGGGTAAATCAACAGTGGTCCAGGTCTACACGACTTGAAAACTAGACGACTGTTGGAGGTTTTCTAAAAGTAACTCATATTCAAGTTACATTTAGGCAAACCACGAAACCCTCATGCTCATAGCTCAGAAACCGAAAAAGATGAACTACGAGAAATGTCATTCTATCGGCCATCAACACGCTGGGACTCGTAACGCTTTCATTGCTACGGTCGAGATATCTCGCCTTCCAATAATATTCTCTGTGCGCTAGTGACGAGATAATTCATCCCCTACGCAAGGTGTTTTCTGCATCTTTGTAGCGTGTCTACTCACTTGTTTGTTAACATTTCGGCGCATCCAAGTCAATAATATGTTGTTTTTACAAAATTCACAAAGAGGATGACAAAGACGTGCTATTGTCAAGATAAACGTGTTGAGAGAACGTTACTCGTACAGCGAAGACTACGAAACCTTAACAAAATTTGGATCGAAATATCACTGTTTTAAGAATTTAGCCTCTCTGCCATTAGTGATCTCTGCACCACGAAAGGATAAAAACATAACTATACTCAAATTCCAGACCAATTATTCAGACTCAAATGATATCTTTTAGAATATTAATAGATTTAGAATAAAAAAATAAATATGAAAGTAATTTTAAATCACTCGAAGATAGCAGGTAGTTGATTTAATCCTTTCACGATGGCAAAGCTAATCAATATGCCATTAATGTTTGTCTGACGGGTTGGTCAGATTCTCATCAATACGTGAGTACATTTAATGTCATTTCCTTCGATGCACTGTATCTATAAATAATCAGTTTTAATCATAGTTTTCCAAATTAATCTCGTTCACTAGTTGATTTTTATATTCCACCTTAAGAGGACAAAATCTTATACCACATATATTAATATTTGATACATTAAGGGGAATTAACGTCTTCTAAACGTAATTACTTAACCAGTCTGGTTCCCTTATACCTGTATATGTAATATTAATAATTAATTACTTAACTTTTAATTATGACACTGCTAAAAGAAAGGAAGCAGTTACTCATGTCAAGAACGTTTTCTCGTGCATTAGTTAGCATTGAGTCCAAATAGCTAATCTTCACGGGAACTATCGTTGTCCAATGAGATGTTTAGTGGATGCCCACTATAAACGACGTTAGCGTGAAAGGGTTATCAATGTACAGCAGATCAGAAAATGTTTTTTACAATATATTACGATATGAAGAATTGACATAGTCATATGTAAGAAGAGCATAATTCATATTATTCGCATCAGCCAGAACGTTTAAAATCACCTTCTGAAAGCTCAGTTTCGCGAAATCAATTAACTGACGCATTAGACCTCATACACAGGCTCTGAAATAAATATTTTCCTGGTGAAATAATTTTTATGAACTAAACAAACATTTATTGCTTTATTCCAATAAATCCCAAATTTTCTGGCTTTGCAATCAGATTTTTAAAATGCCTCTTTATGAAGGATTATGATTTATGAAGGATTAAGTTTTAATTTGAACTATGGTGTTAGTTTCCTTTCCGACTTGAAATTCGCATATAGATTTTGGAACGGCGAGTATTGCGATCGGGGTTTACCCAAGAATATAATATACTAAGCAATGAAATTAAACATAAAAATGAAATTTTGGCACGATTTGAATCTTTTACTGTGTAGTTTGGAAATATCAAGGATGGCAAGATGCAACAAGACTTATTTGTCAAAGTAAATGCAAAAGAAACCGAAATTGAAGAACTGTTAGATGACAGAAGACAGATGACTAAGCTCTTAAATTGTATAAAATTAGGGAGCAAGTTCAATCTTCAGATAAATGGGAGAATATTCAAATTTCTCATTTGTGTGATTTTAGAAAGCTTCAAGTCTTATTACCTTAAATTGAACTAAAGAAATACTATGGAAAGTTTAAAGGTTGCATCGGTTTTGGGGTTATTTTCAAAATTCATAATGACGAATCTCTGACAGCTGATGATGAATTTGATTACTTATTTCAATGCATAAAACCAAATTTAACAACTTATAAATTATTTGGAAGGCTCCTATTCCTCTCTAAAGAGAGTTATGAAAACAATATTGAGCTATTAAAATCTACATTTGATAACAAAGACTTTTATTGAACGTTACATGCAAGAACTCTTAAATTTAGTATTAAAAAGGTATACACGAATTTTACATGATAATTTAGCAGTTCATTTGAGAGCATTAGATTCTTTGGGTATATATATAAAAAGACTCCTTGGATTTGAGCAAAAGGCTCCTTGAGAGTAAGACTCCTTGGGGTAGGATGCAGTTTTTGTACGCTACTATTCTCCTTAGTGGGATCGGCACTTCCAGAAATAACATTTAAAACTTGAGATTGCTATCGTATTTCTAAGATTATTTCTACTTTAAGTCATATGGAGTGCAGGCCAGCTTACTTCACATATTAAGACTTGAAACAGAAAGTGAGGTAAGATAAAAACTGTGAAAAGTTTCCTTTAATGACGAACAAAAGCTAATTCGAGAATTAACAGCAGAAATAAAGATATTCATACAGCTTAATTTTAATAGAGAATTCTTGAATTAAAGAGTTGTCATATTTTTTGTGACAGAAAAACATTTTTGTGACATAATTCACAAAAGTGTGCTGCAATTGCTCAGCCTTCAGTTGATGAACAGAAGATACACCTGTTTCAGAACAGGTCATGTGAGCTCAAAATTTCGTAATTTTATAAGATTCATATTATGTAAAGATCAGTATTATTCTAAAATGCATTCGTTCCAAATATAAAAACTACGAACAACGTAGCGGAATGAAAATGAACCAGCAGTAGATAATACTTTATCTATTTCAACCAACTATTTGGTTTCATATTTACAAACTATGATTTCAAATGTTGTTGGTAATAAAACATATCCAATGAACATATTCCGCATGTGATCTACATTCTCAGAGAAGTTATGTTATGAACAGACGCAGAAAAGAATTTAACTTAAAACCACAGGACAAGGTAACTTTATTGCAAGTATTATTCAGTAGAAAGAAGATTCCGTTTTCAACACATGATGTGTGCAAACTAAGTTATTTCACAGGCAGAAAAAGATAAATAAGTCATCAGAATTTCTGAGTATCTACTGAACGAAATGAAGATACTGGTCATTAAGTGTATTACATCTTTCATAGATAGAAGGCTTCTCTACTTTACAGTTTAATCATAATGCTGCTGAAGAAAAGTCTTCCGAGTAAATTGAAGAGATTGAGGAAACTAAAAAGGTTTCAAGAATACGAGGATGTAATTAAAGAATTGGCGGAAAATGGAAATAGTTGAAACTGTACCAGAAACAAATGTTAATGAACAGGCTCATTACTCATTACACAAAGCTTTTTTTCAAAGAATGTAGGAATATGAAAATTAGGTCGTATCTGATGCATCAAACTAAGATGAAAATGATATTCCCTGAACAAATGTCTGAAAAATAGGCCAGATTTAATTTCGATAGCTTTAACTAATTTTAGAATTTATGCAGTAGCTTTTTCTTCTGATATAAAAAAGACTCTTTTATAAATTGAAATTTATCCAGCAAATAAATATTTTCTAGTTTTCCTATGGCGGGAGAAAGGGAAAGACTGTTGTACTTAGACACAACACAATAGGTTTTGTTGTTTTCTCCATTTCGTCATTCAGCATGCCAGAATAACTTGTTAGGAAGGGCATCTAACATTTAATCTTGATAGCAGAAAAGTTAAGACATACATTCTACATGGAATAATTTCTTACTGGTGTCTCTGAAAATGAAGAAATTGAATCACACGTTTATGAAACTACAGAACTGATATCTTCAGATGAGTTCAATCTTAGAGGTTGGAAAAGTAGTTTAGATGAAGGTTCAGAAAATGGGGCTCTTTTGTGGTACTGCCCATCAGGTGAACTGAGATGCTGACTATTATTTTGGACTGAAGCTCCAACAAGGTGAATCATTGCATTCAGAAAGTTTTTGATACTACAGAAGTTTCCTCGGTAGCCTTTTGTATTCGAAGAATATTATGCAGAAGACTTGGAAATTAATGTTTGACTGGGATAAGGAATGACCGGAAGAAATTCAGTAAGAATTTCAGGGTATGGTCTAGAGAACTACATATTTTGAATGACTGCCGAATCCCAATATGAATTTCATCAATTCTAAATGCTTCTTACATATCTTCTGTGACGCAAGCAAATTAGCGAATGATGCCTGTATATCATTAAGAACAGAAGAAAATGAAGTTTTCTTGAGTCTTAGCAAAATTGGATTTTAACCTTTGAAGGAGATCATTTTACCGCGGTTGCGCTTCTGGATGTAAGATTATATCAGTCGGCTGTTTATAACTTGAATAGTAGAAATAAGAAAACTTACTTTTAATTAAATTCTTGGCGTGGCGTGGTTAAAAAAACGAAATAATTGGTCTCTTTTTGTAGGAATCAGAGTTAAAGGGATTCAAGATTAGCAAAGCGCGGTATTGAAAGCATATAACCAGACATCTTAAATCCTGCTGATT